CAGTTCTTCCAGCCTTTCCTGCACATTGAGCAGCTAGCACATGCTTTACTTATCCACTGCACCTCATGAGTCTCCATACCATTGGTAGGGTTGTAGTTCTTCACCTTTTCATTTTCAGTATCAACCACATACTTTACTCTAGGAATGGTTAAGGAGGTTTCAACAACATTGGTGACAGCAACAAGAAGCCGCTCTCCCTCCTTAACCTCGTCAAATACACGAAGCTGTGCTACTGCAGGCAGCATTGCATATAGAGGCACAACACGCAGTGCACCTGGATTAACAGCTTTATCATCTTCCCTCTTCTTCTTAATGCAGGAATTGGATTGCTCAGACTTATCATCCACACTATTAGTCACAGTCTCTTTTCCTTTAGAATTAGATTTTAAAACATCTCTTCGGGCCAAAGCTTCAAAAGCAGCCTTAAGGGAAGCAAGACTCCCATCATCCCCTAACGCATTAACCCGACTATCACCATTTCCCATGGTCTCCTAGTTCAATGCGTCATCACCCTCAACATCAATTTCTATGTCACTCTCTGTTTCTGAATCATACGAAGTATTTGACACATCCTCATCAAGATCACACTGATCTTCTTCATAAGAGCTAAACCTTTTAGTTTGCCGCTGGTCAGTTAAGTTTGCAGGGATTTCAAATGCTTCACTAATATCCTTCATATCAATGTCCCCAACTGATTTCATTTCTGAGGGAGTAGCTGCTTCAGTCCCTATATCTCTTTTAGAAGTATTAGCAATCAGCTCTCTGGAAGCCTCGCGCAACTTGCTGCATAAATACTCTACTTCTCTCTGTCCAGTGACAAAGACAAGTATCCCACCTGCTGGCAGGAGTGGCAGCCTCTTATGAATTGCCATGACCTTTTTGAAGGCTTGACTTATATAATCCACAATCTCTGTTCTCTTTGAGAAATGTATAGTTACTGGAAATTGTCATGTAGGAACTTCTATAACAGGAGGAGGATTATGAAACAATCTTCTCCCAGAGATGAAGTCTTCCACTTGCAATGTATCACTCATCAGAACAAGTTTTAATGGAAATATCTAACTTTCAAGATTTACAGTTTTTCCTGAAAGCACCATGCGCTGCTGCTTCTCATATAAATTCTGTTATCAAGCAAGACAATATTGAAAGAGTAGAGGAGAATAGAAAGCTACAACCTGATTACCCATGAAAAGTGGAGGCTTTTAAATTTCACCTGACAAAGTCAAATTACACAGGAAAACATCCCAATTAGTATGTCTGTGATCAAGCTCCTTTCATGAGCCTCATCCAAAACTATGACAGAATAACGCTTCAATGAAAAATCATTTTGCCACATAAAATATGATAAAAACGATACCTTGACATGCGTCTCCCAAGTAATCACAAGATATTATCATATAGAAACCGCAACATTAGAATAGAGGGGTCATAAATTACAATTCCTGACACAAAAATTTAAAACTATAAACAAGAAAGTTAAATTCAATAAATTTTCAAACAAACATACTTGAGGAACTTGTGTGGTTTTACCACATCCAGTCTCTTCGCAATCAATAACAGTGGGATTCTCATTTATGGCTTCCATTATCTCCTGCTCCATCATAACAATTGGAAGATCTCTCCTTTTGTTTTCTACTTCATCTGGTCTTGACACATGCACTACAGTTGTGGCAATAATAACTCTCCGCAGAGGACTGTTTTGTACATCGTTTTTCTTGGCAAAATCACTTGGAATCTCATTTGCTTTACCCTGTCAGATATGAAACCACCCGTCAGCAATATTTAGCCATTGACTATAAAATAACTCAGCTCAAGACAATAAACAAAAGAAAAAGCAGAGAAAAGTGAAAATCAGGACATCTTGACACTTTAAATGTCAGCACTTTCTATGAAATTGTTCTAATACCCTTAATAAATCTTTTTATGTGTTGATTCATTAAGAATATTTTAGTCTTTCCATTACCGTTCTTGGCATTTTAAGTGTTAGAACATCCTGATTTTCCCCAATTCCAAAGTACAATACTAGTAAATTTAATCAAAGTTCTTTTTTCTTTACTATACAGATAACAAAAACAGAGTTTGTACTACTCAAATACAAGAATAAGAAAGAGGTATAGCTTGCTTCTTTCTTAATGCATATTATTTAGGTTAAATCCCCATTTTGGTCCCTCAACTATCGTACGGAGCCCCGACTTAGTCCCTCAACTCAAAAAATCCCTGATTTGGTCCTTACTGTTTACCATTTTGACCCCGATTTAGTCCCTCCATTAAAAATCCAGTGACGTTTCCCGTTAATTAACTGGAGCATGATGACGTGTCCAAATAACTTGACACATCAAATGCATACCTGAAAAAAAAAATGACAACATGATAAAAAAAATGATGACATGGAAAAAAAATAATATATCAAAAAACTTAAAAAATTATTTCTTTTTCTTTTTTCTTCTCTTTTCTTCTCTTTTCCTTTCTTTTCCCCTTGCAACCCAACGCCTACTGGGTTCCTTCGAACCGAGGCTTCATGGGTTCCACACCTGGGTTCCACGCCTGGGTTCCTTGGAACCCAGGGCTTGGGTCTTGATGGAACCCAGGGCCTGGGTCTTGATGGAACCCAGGGCCTGGGTCTTGATGGAACCCAAGGCCGGGATCTTGATGGAACCAGGCACTGGGTTCGTTCGAAACCCAGAGCCTGGGTTTCCCAAGCGTCCTGGGTTCGATCGAACCCAAGCTCTGGGTTCGTTCGAAACCCAAGCAGCCTGGGTTCGATCGAACCCAAAGCCTGGGTTTCCTAGGTGTCCTGGGTTCGTTTGAAACCCAGGCTGCCTGGGTTTGTTCGAAACCCAGAGCCTGGGTTCGATCGAACCCAAGACGCCGGGGAAACCCAGAGCCTGGGTTCGTTTGAAAAAAAATTCTCTTTTTTTTTTTTTCTGTGGATTTGGTTGGTTGATGATGATGAAGAAGGCAAGGCAAGATGAGGAACTCAGAACTGGGAAAAATAAAAAAAAATCTTTTTTTTTTTTTCTGTGGATGCTTGTTGAGGAACTGGAGAGCACTGTTGTTCTAGGTTCGAATGGGTTTAGGGAAGAAAGGGGGAGAAGGGTTCATGCTTTGCAGGAGGTGGGGCCCACATTTTTTTCTTGTTTGGTTTTGGGGCAAAATGGAACATCATACTGCCATGTCATCTTTTTTTTCCAGGTGTTCGTTTGAGGTTTCGCTCTATTTTTGACATGTCATCATGCTTTTGTTAATCAAGGACATGCCACTGGAATTTTAACAGATTTTTAACGGAGGGACTAAATCGGAGTCAAAATGGTAAACAGTAGGGACCAAATCAGGGATTTTTTTAGTTGAGGGACTAAGTCGGGGTCCGTACGATAGTTGAGGGACCAAAATGGGGGTTTAACCTATTATTTAAATGCATGCAGAAACCAGCAAAGCTATTAACATTTAATTTAAAAATCTAGAAAAAGAAAATTATAAGTGGCAAATTAATGTTTAAAAGTTCAGATTTTTTTGGATAATGTCACTAAAATAAGGTGTTTCTAACTAAATCA